TGACTAGATGTAATGGTCATGCATGGTGCAGGAGGAAATTATTAATGAAGATGACAAGAAGCTACAAGAACTTAAAGAGTTGGGGGATGAGATATATGAGGCAGTTGTAACAGCTCTGAAAGAATTGAATGAGTATAATCCAAGCGGGAGATATACCATTCCGGAGCTTTGGAACTTTAAAGAAGGAAGAAAAGCCACACTAAAGGAGGCCATTGCTTATGCTGTGAATAATATCAAGAGACTCCAGCGCAAGAGAGTTTGTGGCCAAGGTTTGTAATATGTTTTCTATTTGACTTTTTCACTAGTGCTGTAATCTGTCCCTTGCAATTGTTAATCTGTACTTATTCTTAAAGCTCAGACATTTTTCATTGCAATTACCTTGTCAAATATCGTATGAAGCTAATGCTCAGTTGATGGTCAATTTTTTTTTGAACATTATGGAGGCCCTCAATTATTCAGTAGTAAATAATCTTGTATTTGTAACTTACCTGCAAGGGAGGTTGATGTTTTTTGCAATTAAAAATACGGTGAAATAGTGAAGAGTATAACAAAATATTATAAATAATTTTATTCTTGCAGAAAACAATGAATAATGACATCAGATATTTTCTTTAACTAGTCTTGGATGATATTTGAAATACATATTTGTTTAGAATCAAAAACTTGCTCTGGACCTTAAAAGGTGGATTCTATTATTTACCTTGATGAACTAAATGCTGAGAAGTTTCAGCCATCAATTTCATGGTTCAATTGTTTTGGATGAAGTAGCTTTATTGAATCTGTGCATTATCTACTAGTCTAACAGATTCAGTTAGCTTCTTGTTGTTTAGGTTCTTTTGTCCATCAGTTCAAATGCATATGTGCAGCCCTTAGATGAACCAATTAGGCTTCAATGGATTATTTATAACTTGTTTTTCTGTCAATTAGAGCCCTTTCTTTACGTATGCTTGAAATGCTCTGATACTATGTTATTTTCTGTTGTATTACTTGGGGGCTTAATGGAAAATGTATAGCTTTATTTGAATATTGAACTCTCTCTATAATGATGATTTTTAGTTTAAAATTAGCGACTGGGATTTATAGTGTTTTGTGCAAAAATGTTTATTTAGATATAAGTATTTAGTTAAGTGTGCTGTAAAATTATACACTTGAAGTAAAACTGTAGACATTAATGTATGAAATTAGTTATTAAGACCACTGAAATTGACATGCAAGCACACACTTTCTGGAAACATAAATGGGCTGATTTTGTTTCAGTTTCATTTGCAGGGTGAAATGAAAATGATTATGACGTCACAGATGACCCATCAAATCTGAACCGGTCAACGACTGTTTCAATTTTCAATGTCGATGAAAAACAGGATTTTAACGTCTTCCACGTGTCAGCGAGTTGCCTCTTGTTTGGTATTTGAACGGTTGAGCCAATCCCAAATTCCCATGCGCTCAACCTCACACAGTCTACAGTGCTCCCGTCTCTCAGCCAACTTTGATCCAAATTCCACATCATGTACGCAAGTTTTAATGCCCAAAATTTCTACCTAATTTTTAGATTATAATCTCATTTTATTTAATGTGCATTGATCTAATATATTTAAAATTGGTTCTCTAATATGATGAAAACCTCAAAATAGTATTATTTGTGCTTTATATTATACTAAATTAATGAATAAACGATTTTTCTCACCCAAATAATTACGTAATAATATTTTTTCACTTACAAGCTTTTAATTATCCAAATTTATATTATGATTTCAGTATTGTTACAACCTCACATAATCACTATTATCTTCTTCAATCATCACTCACCAAAATCTCTTAAACCCTACTCTCATTGATCCTGCTAATCGTCGGTAATCGAGCGATTAGAATTTACACAGTTGCCCCTTCCAAGTCAAATTTCCAGTAATCTCAACCACCAAAATATAACATTCCATCACTAAAAGACTCACCGACCTTATTTCTTTTCAAAGCCCTAATAGTTTGGATCGAATTTGCTCTTTGTTCACCTTTGGAATATAAATTTGAAAAGTAAAGTGATATTGTAAATAAAAAAGTGTCATTAAATTATTATTTGGGTGAGAAAGAGTCGTTAACTCTAAATTAATATAATGAAATCCATATAAACAATATCATAGAATCGAAAATGACACATACCAAGTTTCTAATTCAGAAAAGCTCAACACATTTATAAAATCTAATTTAATGTTGATACATTATAATCTTCTATATAATATATGATTTTTCAATAAAATCTTGCCGAAAATTAAAATTTATCTCTTAAATAAAGTGAAGAAACTATCAAAGTATATTTATAAATAGATACACTTATATATATGTGTGTGTGTGTGTGTGTGTGTGTGTGTGTGTGTGTGTGTGTGTGTGTGTGTTTCAGAATATCACTTTTTCATTTTATTATAAAAATAATTAAGGCATTACAGTCAACTCATCAAGCTCTGAACCCCGGTCCTCTGGTGCTCTACCCTCATCCAGCAATAAAACTAGGGACACCGAAAAGCTTGCACCAAAATTGTGTGTCAACCTACGTGTATCAGTTACGTGAATTTTTTTTAAATTTTTTTCTAGTGAACGGCCATCCAAAAAATTTGGATGGCCGTTCACTCACATGGACCCCCGTCCATATTATATGGACTGAAGTCCATATACCAAGGACGGTTATCCACATTTAAAGGACGCTTGTCCCTGAATAAAATACAATAAAAATATTTATTAAACATTAGGGACGGTCGTCTATCCATTATGGACGGTCGTCCATTACTTTTGGACGATCGTCCATAAATAATGGACACCTGTCCTTGACCCAAAAATGAAAAAAAAATAAATAAATAAGCTTTGGGGACGCCTGTCCACCAATTGTGGACGCCCGTCCACCAATTGTGGACGGCCATCCCTTACTTTTTCACGGGCGTCCGTGTGTAATGGACTCCCGTCCATTATTTTAATTTTTTTAAAAACAAAATAAAAACAATGGACGGTCGTCCACAAATTATGGACGGCCATCCTTTTATTGTGGACGGGCATTCATAAGTAATGGACGCTAGTCCAAAAGTAATTCTTTAAAAAAAAAAAAATTAAAATAAGGGACGGTCGTCCTTAAATGGTGGACGGCCGTCCCTTAATTGTGGACGGGCGTCCATTACTTAAGGACGCTCGTCCTTTAATGTAAATAAAATTTAAAAACAAAATTTTTAAATTTTAATTACATTTGTTTATTGCGAATAACATTAGCTTCTCCAATACGCTTTCGCCAAAATTCTTCCAGTGAAAGAAAACCGGTGCCAAAATTCGTCTTCCCTTTCTGCTTCATCGTTGTCGTCTGTTCTTCGCCTCTGTGTTGCGTCTGCATTCCTCAGCCATTTCTTCCTACAACAAACGTTTTTTCCTCATTTTCCAACAACCGTGTGAAGAACGAAAGCTATAAACTTTTCATCTAACCATTTTTTTACAGTGGAAAGGGAGATTAGAAAGATTTGTCCAGGTTATTAACCGATTTTTATATAATTTATGCATTTATTTAGTTTTTTAACAGTGGAAAGGGAGATTAGAAAAATTTGTCCAGTCGTTAACCAATTTGTATATAACTTATGCATTTATTTAGTTTTGTATTATATTTTGGATTAAATATACGTTACAATAGAAAAAAACTGATAGAGAAATTTTTTTGGTGATTGTTATGAATCAGATTCGTGAACGTGAACACTAGTATTGGATTTGCGTTAAATTTCAGAATATGGAAGAGTCCAGTTTGCCTCATTTCAATGATGTTGAGGTAAATTGTGCTCGAAACCTTAACTTTTTTGTTAACATTATTTTAAATTTATTGTATCGTATTGTTTATTTTGATGTATTGTATTTATATATTCTACTTTTATGTATTATAAAACTATTAAACCAGGAAAATGAACGTGATGAATTAGAAGATATGGGATGTTCAGAGGAAGAAGTAGAGCCTCATATTGGAATGGTTAGATGAAAAGTTTATAGCTTTCGTTCTTCACACGGTTGCTAGAAAATAAGGAAAAAACGTTTGTTGCAGGAAGAAATGGTTGAGGAATGCAGACGCAACACAGAGGCGAAGAACTGACGGCAACGATGAAGTAGAAGGGGAAGACGAATTTTGGCGCTGGTTTTCTTTCGCTGGAAGAATTTTGGCGGAAGTTTATTGGAGAAGCTAATGTTATTTGCAATAAAAAAATGTAATTAAAACTGACGGTCGTCCAACCCTTATGGACGGGCGTCCATTAAGTATGGACGCCCGTCCACAATTAAGGGATGACCGTCCACCATTTAGGGAAGGCCGTCCCTTATTTTAATTTTTTTTTTTTAAAGAATTACTTTTGGACGGGCGTCCATTACTTACGAACGCCCGTCCACAATAAAAGGACGACCGTCCACAATTTGTGGAGGGGTGTCCATTACACACGGACGCCCGTGAAAAAGTAAGGGACGGCCGTCCACAATTGGTAGACAGGCGTCCCCAAAGCTTTTTTTTTTTTTTTTTTCATTTTTGGGTCAAGGACGGGCATCCATTATTTATGGACAGTCGTCCATAATGGATAGATAACCTATCCCTAATGTTTAACAAATATTTTTATTGTATTTTATTCAAGGACGAGCGTCCTTTAAATAGAGACGGTTGTCCCTGGTATATAGACTTCCGTTCGTATAATATGGACGGGAGTCCATATGAGTGAACGGTCTTCCAAATTTTTTGGACGGCTTTTCACTAAAAAAAGATTAAAAAAATTCACGCGACTGATACACGTAGAGTCGTAGACCAGTATATAATTTCGATGACCAGTATATAATTTCGATGCAGGTTTATCAGTGCCTCTAGCTTTATTGGCTCAACCAGTCAGCCACTGGGTCACTTTCAATTCTGCGAATGAACGGAATCATAGTCTTACACGTGTCTCTCACTCTCCAGTCTCCACACCTTTTTAAACAAAATTTACCCATTTGTTTAACAATTAACACTAGAAGCTCACTCTCCACATTATTTTCATTTTTCACCTACCCGCTAAGCTCTCTCACTTCTCTCACTTCACTCCTTCATTTTCACCAGCCAACGAGTTTGGCCTCCGACGATTTTCACACTTTCTATTCCACGCAATCTCCATCTCTCAATCTTGTTTCGGTACTTAGTTTTATTGATTTTTTGGTTGGTGTGATAATGTATGAAAATCCATCACAATTTTTAATATCGTAGTTTCATTTGCAATTTATTTGGATTATGTATGGATATCTTACATTTTTTATTGTTAATAACAGCTTTTGATTGAATTTTTTCTGGAAGAATTAGGGTTTTACAATAATGTGTGTTCATTCTAGGTTAATGTACTACCTCATTTGAATTTTCACATCCTTTTTGCTTATCTACATGATTTCGTAGCACTACTTTAGTATTTTATTTAATTTCGTGATAAACACCATTTCAATTAATAGGGATAATTAGGCTTATGGGTTTCTAAAACAAACTAGGTTATTCCAGAAATGTGTGTTTGTTTGATATGTGGGTGATGTGTTTGCCGGGCTAAAGATGAATGAATAGAGTGAAATAAATCATTTTTTCATGCATAATTTTTGTTTTACAATGTGGGCTCAGTAACAGAGAGTTGAAACCTTTGTTAAAATATTTTTCTTAAAACAAAGCCTGTGATGTAGCATCTATAATTACCTATTGACACATAGAATCATTGCCCTTAACCTATGTAAAGGAAGAATACGGTAGGCCCGTGATTATTTTCCACTTCCAAAACATAGTAAAGGACTCTCACTCTCACTCTTTCGCACATATTTCATTTCATGTAATTCTCAACTGATTATATTAGAATCTTTGAAAATTCTAGTTTAATTTTATTGTTAATTTGATTAGGGTGGTTTCCGTGTAGCTGAATTTTGTAATGCATTTACACTTAATAGCGAAATGGTCTTCATTTGGTGAGTGAGTTAGGGTTTCGTTAAATTTTGTGATATTGTGTGTGTTTGGATATGGACTTCTTGTGTCTTTTGAGCAAGATGGAGAGAACATGATTGTTTGATTTTTGACTAGTTGCTTTTTAGGAATTGGAGGTAGGCTTTTTTTTATAAAACAATTTGTCTGATGTAGAGGATAAGTTTAGTGTGTGTTTGAGAATAACTAATTGTTGAATTTTAGGGGGTGATTTTGAAGAAACTTTTCTCAAGAACTGCTTATTTCAAAAAGGGGTTTTACTGAATGCATCTGGTCTTTTTAGCCCAACGCAGCAGTTATTTCAAAAACTGATTTTCTTGTGCCAGTTTGCGTTTTAGTAATGTTCCCTGCACCATTCTTTAAATTATCTCTTAATTAACTACTTGTAATTCTTGTATATAACCCAGATGGACTACAGTTCTGAAGAAGTGTCAGATATTAGTGATTCTGAGATCAATGAGTACATAGAGAAACCGTATGAAGAGCTGAGGGCTGGGAAGTACAAAGTACGGGTTAGCGGCACCTTAAGATGCCCCTTTTGCGCTGGGAAGAAGAAACAAGTTTACAAGTACAAGGACTTGCTTCAACATGCATCGGGAGTGGGTAAAGGATCTGCTAACAGAAATGCGAAACAAAAGGCAAACCACCTTGCCCTGGCAAAGTATTTGGAGATTGACCTAGCTGGTGAAACAGACCAAACTCAAGCTTCAGTTGTATCAAAACCTGTCAATAGAACTCCGGAGCAAGAAGATACCTATGTGTGGCCATGGATGGGAATTATTGTTAACATTGTAAGTGATCCAAAAGATGGAGGAGATGTGAATGATTGTGGATATTGGTTGAAGAAGTTTGCTAGATATAAACCTTTAGAGGTTTATACTTTCTGGAATGAACAAAATCTCACTACAGAGGCCATCGTGAAATTTAACAGTGATTGGAATGGTTTCATGAATGCAGCTGAATTTGAGAAGGTGTTTGAAAGTGATCATCATAGTAAGAAAGATTGGAATGAACGGAAAACAAGCCCTGGCTCAAGTATATATGGCTGGTGTGCACGTGCTGATGATAGTGAGTTTGAAGGGCCAATCGGGGAGTATATTCGCAAGGAAGGGAAGTTAAGAACATTCTCTGACATTGTGCGGGAAAAAAATCAAGACAAAACGAATGTTGTTGCAGACCTTGCCAGTAAGATAGATATGACGAATGAAAATCTCAATGAACTGGAATACAAGTACAATGAGAAGACCATGTCTTTGAGCAGGATGCTTGATGAGAAAGACAAACTACACTATGCTTTTGTTGAAGGTTTGCTCTTGTCTCTTTATGTAGGCCTCTAATGATGATTGAATCACCAAATGGTGTTTCGTCTTAATGTATAGTTCAACATCATTATACTTAATGTTTGATTTATGAAGTTAATAGCGTTAAAATGTTCTTTTTGTCCAATAGAGACAAGAAAGATGCAGCGGCTTGCTCGTGATAATGTTCGCAGGATCTTGGAAGAACAAGAGAAACTCAGTTGTGATTTGGAGGCTTGGAAGAAGAAAATTGATGACAGGAGCAAAAAATTGAACAAGCTTGAAGCGTCAACAGAGCGTGAGAGGCAAAAACTTGAAGAAGAGAGAAAAAAGGTAGCCTTTTTGGCCCAGTTGAAGTACTCTTGGCAAAACGCTGTAGCATTTTATTTTTGCATAATAATACATCATATGGAATACTGACATTTTTTCTTTTGGTCATTCTAGTATGATTCAAGAAATAACTCACTTCAGCTGGCTTCAATGGAGCAGAAAAAGGCTGATGAGAATGTCATCAGACTCGTTGAAGAGCAAAAGGTGTGCTGCTCAATGATATGCTTTGACTGATTTGCACCACATTTTGTTTCATACTTATTTGTTATTTTACACTTTTTGTAGCTTTTATGTATAAACATGTATGAATTTTTCAGAGGGAGAAAGAAGAGGCCTTAAACAAGATAATACAATTGGAAAAACAGTTGCATCAAAAACAGAAGCTGGAAATGGAAATTGAAGACTTGAAAGGCAAAATAGAGGTGATACAACATCTTGGAGATGCAGATGATGCAGCAGTACAGAAGAAGATGAAAGAGATGAAAGATGAGCTGGCAGAGAAAGAGGAGAATTTGGGTTCTTTGGAGGAATTAAGTCAAACTCTTATCACCAAAGAGCGTCAGAGCAACGATGAACTACAAGAAGCACGTAAAGAGTTAATTCAGGTATCCCTAATTACATTACTTAAATGATATCTTGTTGATCAAATGGCTTGAGCCTAATCAAGGGGAATCTTCATATCTAATTCATTAAATATGTGGGTTCGTGGCAAGCATGGTGGCCAAAGAAAAGCAGTCAAGATGTCCCATAGGGGCAAATCTGAAGTCTAAAATGTTAATGATTAGGGCAATCAAATTCTTGATGATAGTGGATAAGGGATAAAGTATATGGAAAATAAAAGAAAAAGGAGAGGGGTTTTTGGGTGATTTTTTCAGAAAAGTAACTAATGAGAAGTCACTAGTATGTATTTTTGCTAAATCTCTTGGCTTGGAAAGTTGCATGAAATGCATTAATTGCATAGATGCACAGTGTTGATTAGATTTGTTAAATTACTTGTTTCCTAGAGAATCATAAGGATGAATTTATGCAAGATATTTCTGTTTTGATAGGGTTTTGTAGATATTTTGGGTGCTCGTACGATTATTGGAATAAAGAGAATGGGGGAGATTGATCCAAAGGCATTTCAAAAGGCATGCAAGCAGAAGTTTTCACTGGAGGAAGCACAGGTGCAGGCCTCCACTCTTTGCTCCTTGTGGCAGGAGAATTTGAAGAACCCGGAGTGGCACCCTTTCAAGATAATAGAAGGTGGTGGGAATGCCAAGCCCGAGGTAGCATGTTTGATCTCGTTCTTGCCTTATATTGCTGTTATGCTGTAAACTTTGTTTTTATTGGTGGCATTCATATGCATGAAACTTAGTTAGCCTGCAAATGTAATAAAAATTTCCTGAAATAATTTTGTATCACAGGCTAGAATTTCTTGTCTCTGATGATGGATGGTGGAAATTAAAAGTTCATTTTCTTCTTCAACTTTTGTGCATGGTGCAGGAAATTATAAACGAAGATGACGAGAAGCTACAAAAACTTAAAGAGTTGGGGGATGAGATATACGAGGCAGTTGTAACTGCTCTTAAAGAATTGAATGAGTATAATCCTAGCGGGAGATATGCCATTCCAGAGATATGGAACTTTAAAGAAGGAAGAAAAGCCACACTAAAGGAGGCCATTGCTTATGCTGTGAATAATATCAACAAACTCAAGCGCAAGAGAGTTGGTGGCCAAGGTTTGTAATATGTTTTCTATTTGACTTTTTCGTTAGTGCTGTAATCTGTGTTAATCTGTACTTATTCTTAAAGCTCAGACATTTATGTCATTGCAATTACCTTGTCAAATATTGTATGAAGCTAATGCTCAGTTGATGTTCAATTTTTCTTTTGAGTTGTATGGAGGCCCTCAATTATTTTTTTAGTAAATAATCTTGTATCTCTAATTTACCTGAAAGGGAGGTCGATGCTTTTCGCAATTAAAAATGCAGTGAAATAGTGAAGAATATAACAAAAGATAATAAATAATTTTATTTTTGCAGAAAACGATGAATAGTGATATCAGATATTTTCTTTCACTAGTCTTGGATGATATTTGAAATACATTTTGTTTAGATTCGAAAGCTTGCTCTGGACCTTAAAAGGTGGATTCAAATATTTACATGGTTGAGCTAAATGCTGAGAAGTGTCAACCACCAATTTCATGGTTCAATTGTTTTGGATGAAGTAGCTTTCTTGAATCTGTGCATTATCTACTAGTCTTAACAGATTCAGTTAGCTTCTTGTCATTAAGATTCTTTTGTCCATCTGTTTAAATGCATACGTGCAGCCCTTAGATGCATCAATTAGGCTTCAATGACTTATGTATAACTTGTTTTTTCTGTCAATTAGAGCCCATTCTTGTTACATGGGATCAATGAAATGATAAGCATTGTGTGGAAATTGAATGTGGCTGATGTCTGTGATCCTGAATACCAGGTTTCCATAACTATCTATTTATCTGCTAGTTCTGTGCAAGTTACGTCAAAGTATTTGCTTAAAAGATTCGTTTTCCTTCTTTGTTTGATAAATATTATTATATTAACAATGTTTTTCTATGGTTTATTAGCAACCTTTACGTATGCTTGAAATGCTTTTATACTATGTTATTTTCATTTGTATTGCTTGGGGGCCTTATGGAAAATGTATAGCTTTATTTGAATAAATGGGCTGTTTTTGTTCAGTTTCATTTGTAGGTTGATAGGATGGAATGGAAGATGAAGTTTTTGGGCGGAAGAGGGCAACAAGTGAAGTCGAAAGTCAGGGCCATTTTTCTTTCGACCAATTTGATCCTTGTGTAAGTACATGCAAATACAGAGAAGTAGAAAAACTGAAATTATGTTAGGTCACTAGATTGATAGTGAACTGTTATTTAAGAACTGAAACACTCAGTGACCGCAGTTTCGACTTTCAAATTCTCAACATTCAGGATTTTCGTTCTGAAATCCTGAATTGCGGTGAACTTTTACTGAATCTTATGAATATCTAACACTTGAATTCTAGCAATTTCGGGACTCGGGTATGTAATGTGGTTTAAAGGACACAATGTGTTGGGAAGTTTATTTATTAGAAGTGCTTTAGAGTTTAGACTTAAAAACTAAAAAGTACTTTTTACTGGTAAAAGCATTTCAGGAAGTGTTTCATAAAAAGAGTGCTCATCAAATGTTATCTTCGGAAGTATTGTAAGTATATGTAAAATTGGCGGCGGTTCTCTTTAGACCGTGTAATTTCATTTAAAACCTTTTCGTACACAAATGTTTGTAGGTTTAATTAGAAATCTTACTTCTTTTTGAGAAATGTGATATGTCGAAGCCATAAATATTTATGTTGATTACGGTAGTGCCTTCAGCTCGAAGTTTTTTATAAATTAAAAGCAAATAATAAAGATCTTACCCGGGTGAATTAAATTGAAAAAGTTTAAATTAAAGGAAAATAAGTCCTCTAAATGACTTGTAACAATGTTTTAAAACTTGGCTTGGCCCAGTCGGTCAACAGGGATCTGGGGCCTTCATTGAGTTAGCTTACCAATTTTCTTATTCATCAAAAACTTTAGAAATTGAGATGATAATCGGAGAATAATTGAAGGTTGAGATGTTGGAGGTTTTGAAGAGGAAGGGTCGTGAGTGCAATGTTGGCGACAGAGGTAATTTTTGGTGAGTGAATCAACCAGAAATAAAAAAAAAAAACTTGTGGTAGCAACAACTAACTTTTTTCAACGATTGGCGAGGTAAATGAGAGTGGGTTGAGATGGGTTTTGGTCAGGAAGATAAGGGGAGTACTTTCGTGGTGTTGGGGAGGTTTGTCGACGTCAACGGTGGTGAGATATGACCTGGGTTGTTGACGTTGACGATGGTGAGATATGACCTGGGTTGTTGACGTTGATGATGGTGAGATCTAGCCAAAATCGAACCGATTTTTGCCAGATCTTGGTTAGATTTTATGGGGAATGGCTCAAGGGATGATTGGAATTGTATTTGGTGTATTGCCGTCACCAAGCAATCGATCGTTGATTTTCATTTGGGATGTGTTTGCTAAATTTCAAACATGTACAAACATAACTAATTTTTAGGGGTGTATTTGTTCAATTTTAAACTTTTGGACAACCGGTTTGATCTGCCGATCAACGCAAGACCAGACAACTTTGCCAAGTTTCATCCCGAGTTGGTTATTAAAACATTGACTTGTTATGTGAATTAAGCTGCATTTTTTTTTTTTTTTTAAGGAACTAAGAGGGCAACAAGTAAAGTCAGGGTTGTAAACGAGCTGAGCCGAGTCGAATTTTTGACTTTTCGAGCTCAGCTTGTTTGGTATAGGATCGAGCTTGAGCTTGTCGTGTCAGAGAAAAGGGACTCAGATTTGAACTCGAGCTCGAGTTCGAGTCGACTCGACTTCATCTTCATCAATTGCATCATCTACATCTTTATCTACATCATCTTTATCTTCATCTCCATCTTTTTCTTCGTCTTTATCTCCATCATCTTCATCTTCATCTTCTTTTCGTCTTTATCTCCATCATATTCGTCTTCGTCTTCATCTAGTAGAGCATTACGAGTTACGTTGCTTCCATCTCCATCTTCTTCATCTTCATCTTCTTCATCTTCATCTTCATCTTCTTCCTCATCACAACCATTATTTTGATTTTGATTTCTGATTATGAATATTTGCAAGAACAAATTTAGGGCTTAGGGTTTATCGATTTGGGAAATCTGATTTGGGGGTTCAATTTTGTGTTTTAGAACTTATTACATCGGGGGTTTAAACGTTGTTTTTACAAAATTTAAAATTAAAGATAGCAGTTTAGTCCCCATAGTTTATAAAACTAACAAAAGGAACCCTACTTATGCAAGCCACCTCAAGCTTGCGAGCCTATCGAGATAAGCCTTCCCATGTTTGAACTCGACTCCTTTTACATAGCGAGCTCGAGCCGAGTTGACTCAACTAACTATGAGCTAAGTCATAAACGAGTTTCAAATAAGCTGAGCCGAGCCGTCTCGCAAGCCGCTTAGCTCATCTGACAGCCCTAAGTGAAGTCGAAAGTTAGGACCATTTTTTTTCGACCAATTTGATCCTTGTGTAAGTACATGCAAATACAGAGGAGTAGAAAAATTGGAATTATGTTAAGTCCCTAGATTGATAGGGAAATGTTACTTTAATGTTATTAAGAAAAGCGTGAGAGAACTGAAATTAATACTTATACATTATATAAAGAATCTTATTTTGTTGACAGGTAATTTATTTATTTTTGTCCATCTACTAATACGGTCATGTTGCTCCTAGATAATTGAGCATTAAACTTATATTTGTTAATATTTACAAAACACCCAATTCACTCATGTAGATACTTTTGTCCTTACTTTTTAAATTTTTTGGATGACATTGCCCTTGTTATTGTCATTATTTACATAAATGTTATTATACTCAGAACTAGCCACCACCACCAGCCATCGTCGACCATGGCTGAAGGCTGCTAAAAGTCACCATGGTCAGAAAAGGCCAGATCTGGCTGTTTCAAGGGCAGATCTATGTAGGGATGGGCACGGGTCGAGGACTCGGGTCCTGGCCCGAAAGCCTAAGGGAATTCCCCGATCTCGACCCGTAGCCTGTTCGGGGATTCCCTGAATTCCCCATTTGGGGGTTTTGTACTTTTGTGTCTTTTTATGTCCTTATTACCATTTTCTCCGAATTATAATATACCATCCAAAAAGAAATTAAATCTATAATGTACATATTAAACATAAAGACCATCATACTAAATTGATAATATATTACAATATGTACATATTACACATACATAATATATATATTATGTATTGACATATGATTATAGATAATAGCATATTATGTATAATGTATAACATATATATGTTATATACATTATACTTATATACCATATATGATGTATAAGGTATAATGTCAAATGCATACCATACATAATGTATAATGTACAATGTATAATGTATAATATCAAATGTATACCATATATAATGTATAATGTACAATGTACAATGTATAATGTCAAATGTATACCATATATAATGTATAATGTATAATACATATACAATATATATATATATATATATATATATATATATATATATATAAATATTTATAATGATTCATTATATTTAATCTAATTTTATTTATTACCTATTTGTATATGGTTTCAGAAAATACTTACACAATTATAATTTGTCATTGTAAAATATATGATTGATTTTCAAATATTAAAATTAATATATATATATTGGCCAGGCCGGGGATTTCGGGGCGGGGACGAGGCTGGGCCGGGGCGAGGTGGGGCGGGGCAAGACCTATCCCGGCCTGTCCCCGAAATTCAAGACTGATTTTGGGCCCGATCCTGAATGATTTGGGGAAACCCCACCCCGTTTGGGTCGGGTCAGGTCAGGTCGGGGCGGGGTTTTATGCCCATCCCTAGATCTATGGCCATTTCACAGCCAAAGATGTGGCTATGAAACGACCAGGTCTTCACAACTGGCTTTTCATAGCTAGATCTGTGGTCGTGAAACAACCAGATCTATGGCACTGCTGACATCACAGCCAGGTCTGTGGCACTGTCAGTGGCTGCCAACGGTGGTGGCTGGTTGTCGGCAGTGGCTTGGGGTGGGTAAGGGTGTTGTTGTTAAGTTTAAAACATTTTTTTGCTAGGGTGTTTTAGCTAAATCTGAAAAAGTAAGGGGTTAAAAAAATTATTCAAAAAATAATAAAAAAAACACTGTTATATTAATATTTAAAAAGGAGGATAATTTAGTAATCTATATAACATATCCACCCATTATCCTCTCAACCGAACATATTATTCATCAATTTATTCGAACCAATCAAACACATTTTTTAAATATTCACAGTAATCTTTAAGGTTATCTTTTATTCCATTAATATAATATCCCTCTATAATAAAACATTACATGATCCAAATACCCCTTTTATTGTATAATATTATTATGATGTTACGAATGACCCATCAAATCTAAATTGGATCATCCTTCTCTCTCCCTTCACCCGGTTAATGACTGTCTCATTTTCAATTTGGATAACTAACAGGATTCTAATGTCTTCCACATGTAAGACGAGTAGCCTCTTGTTTATTAATCCATCGGTGCTTGAACGGTAGAACCAATCCCAAATTCCCGTGTGCTCAACCTCACATACACTACAATACTCTTGTCCACTATTTTAAAACCTGGCCCAGTCCGATCGGTTTAATTGGTTTAACCAAGACCCGGGATCTTTATTGGGCCGGGTTAACATTTTCTCTATTCACCCAAAACCCTAGAATTTGGAATGATGATCAGCAAAATATTGAAGGTCGGGATTTTGGGGCTTTTGAAGAGAAAGTGTTAGTGAGTGCAATGGTGACGATGGAGTTGATTTCTAGTGAGTGAATCGATTGGAAATATAAAAAAAATGGAGGCAACAACTGACTTTTGCCAGTGATTGGCGAGGCTAGCGGGGGTAAGGTGACGTGGGTTTTGGTCGAAGGAAGAGGGCAGTATTTTTGGGGTGATGGGGAGGGTTGTCAACGCCGACGTTGGTGTGATCTGGCCAAATCTTAGGTTTATTTTATAAGGAATGGGCTCAAGAGATGATTGGGATTGCATTTGGGGTGTTGCCTCCGCCAACTAGTTGCTGACCGATTTGTATTTGGGGTATGTTTGCTAAATTTCAAACCTATAGAGACTTAACTGTAATTTTCAAGGGTGTATTTGCTTATTTTAAAAGTTTTGTCGGTTTGGCCGACTGATCAAACCGGTCAACCTGTGACTTGGCAACTTTGTCGGGTTTCACCACAGGTTGGTTATTAAAACATTGCTCCCGTCTCCCACCCACCTTTGATCCAAATTCAAGATCATGTACCTAAATTTGAACGCCCAAAATTACTACCTAATTTTTAAATTATAATATCATTATATTTAAACTTTTCTTATGGGAATGTGTGTGAATCTAATGTATTTAAAATTGATTCTCTAACATGATGAAAACCTCAA